TGATGGTATGGCATGATGAAGAAGTATCTGCCTGTATTTCCTAGCATTAAGGACATCACTGATCCTGACTAAATCTCCAACTCCATTTACAGAAATGCAGCCCCAATTTTGCAAGGAACCTCCACCATGCTTCACTGTTGCCTGCAGACACTCATTATTGTACTGCTTTCCAGCCCTTCAGTAAACAAACTGCTTCCTGCTACAGCCAAATATTTCTCACTTTGACTCATCAGTCCTGAGCACCTGCTGACTTTTTTCTGCAGCCCAGTTCCTATGGGTTTGTTATAGGACATGGAAACAAGGCTAAGCGACTCAACTATGCATAGAAACATAGGAACTGGGGTGCAGAAAAGTGGCAGCAGGTGTTCTGGACTGATGAGTCAAAATTTGAAACATTTGGCTGTAGCAGGAGGCATTTTGATTGCGAAAGGCTGAAGAGCGGTACAATAACATTTGCCCAGTGGATGCACATGGCAGTGAAGGAAATAGTTCATTTGGGCCAGCTTGGACCAAGCAAACTATTTCAAGTGAAAGTAAACCTAAAGGTCAGCTTTAACCCTAAATAGCAAGATCCGTTTATGCTCATTTTTGGTTACTTCCCTTTCACCCGCCCGGAGCAGTCCAGACCTCAGTCACTAATTATACAGCCCAATACGGCATGGTTAGCCACATGCTTTATGATTGCACAGCGGGCCATTCTCAGAAAATGGCTATCTTCCTCTCCACAGTCCTGGAGGTCAAGCAAGATCTTCTGTGTAGAGAGAAACATGACTTGGACATGTCACCAAAAGCTTTGATGATGCGATTCCACAAAAAATGGGGACTGTTCATATCCAGGTCTCTTCACCTCCAGAGCAGAGCACATACCTTCAATAGGTCAAATGGATATCTTCTTTTATCTCCCTCTTTTAATTTCATTGCGTGGTTTGTCTTCAGGACATCTTCATTAGCTGTCGGTCCCAGGGGCGGACTGACAACTCATGGGGCCCCCGGGCAATAGGGGATCATGGGGCCCCTGTGTCCTTGCCCAAACTCAAAAAAGCCTATGAAAAAGGTACCAGGGGCATCTCATGGACAGGGGCGGACTGACCATTTGGAAACTCTGGCACTGCCCGAGGGCCCGGGGTCAGTAGTGGGCCCAATGAGATGCCCCTGGTACCTTTTTCATAGGCTTTTTTGAGTTTGGGCAAGGATACAGGGGCCCCATGATCCCCTATTGCCTGGGGGCCCCATGAGTTGTCAGTCCACCCCTGCTCATGGGGCCCCCTATTGACCCTGGGCTCTCGGGCAGTGCCCGTGTTTCCAAATGGTCAGTCCACCCTGCACTGGGCACGTCTCTTGGTTAACCGGGTCTCAGAAGCCAAACGGACTCGTCCTGTGCCCCCCCAAAAACACAGTAAATCAACACATTTTAACTGAGCGCTGCCATTGAAGCCTCTGAAAGCCTATGAAAAAGGTACCAGGGGCATCTCATGGGGCCCCCTACTGACCCTGGGCCCTCGGCAGTGCCCGGGTTTCCAAATAGTCAGTCCGCCCTTGGTCAGTCCCTACGATTAGACTCCGAACTACCACCTCTCAGTCACCGGAATACAAAATGGTTTTATACACATGTAACTACATGGTGTTTTTGTGCTGTGTTGTGTGGGTTCTCTCCCCCGTGGGGAGCTTTATTTTGTTGGGTGTCTCCTCGCAGGAGAGAGATCCTTAATTTGGGCCTGACCCTTTACCCAACCCCCCCTTCTCTCCCTTCCCTTTGGTCATGCTAGCTTTGGTATGGTTTTTTACGATATATCTGCCTCATTAGGGGTAGGTTGCACATGTCTCCATCTTATTTTTATTCTCAGCCACTTCTCACTACTACTATGATCAACAAGCATCTTATAGTGGTTATGACTGCTCTGGGTTCCTCTGTTCTGTTCCTGGTATTAACAGAGGTGATTTAGAGGATCCAAATAGTTAGCCTCTCCCCCTATGTTTTTCACCTTGAAACTTATCATACGACCATTGTCCTTGACTATTTTCCTTGTTTGATCAGTGTAATGCTTTGTTTTTTAGTATACTCAGGGCTGTGGATAAGGGGGTACCACTAGTCCTTCTGTACGGGGCCCAGGTCAGCAGGGGGGCCCAGGCAGCTGGGTTAGTTGGATGTGGGCAGGCAGATTGATCGACAATTACTGGAACCGATCCCCCGTTTGGCTCTCTCTGCAGCAGCTGAAAGCTGGTTTCTTCTCCTTTTCCTCCCTGGCTTCCAGCTGCTGCAGAGAGCACCATACAGGGAAACAGTTACAGCAATTGCCCATTACCCACCCTGTACGCCATTCATTTCCCCCTACTGCACCCACCCCTGTGATGTTGCCAGCTTCCCTCCTCTCCTTCCCACCAGTAGCTGCAAGCATACAAAAGGATCCTTCAGGATGGAGAGTGGAGGAAGGGTCTGGTAAATATGTCACATTTACCAACCCCCTTGTTAGGGATCCGGGTGTGACCAGAAATGTGTGGACTGACACAGGGAAGTAGCAGGCTTCAGGAACACAGACGTAGTCAGGGCTGGAGAGGTGGAATGGTCAGGCAGGCCATAAGGTACTGTCAGGCACTGCCCGGCAGGATCTCTAGTGACCCACAGAACAGGATTCCCCAGGGCGCGGAGTCAAAGCCCCAGTCTGCTTTTTCACCAGAGCCCCTGATGGTGGGGATGGACTTGGCGCAGGACTGAGACCAGGTCGCGGCCCCTGAGTGCACCCAACTGTGGTAGAGGGCTCCGCCGAGGGTATGTACTGGGGGAAAGCCTGATGTGAAGGGGCTGGCAGGTTTGGACAGTAGTGACTGGATCCGTGCGGGATGGATGGATTGTCTGGGTAGCGTCAGGCGTAGTCAAGCAGGCCAGGTCAGCAACGTGCGGGCAGCGAGGTACCGGAGGAGCAGGCAGAGAATAGTCAGGGTCACAACCCGGGTTCAGTAACTCACAGGCAGCGCGGTACAGAGGATCAGGCAGAAGGATGGTCAGGCAAGCCAGGGGTTCAACAGGAGACGGTCAGCAGAGTTCAGGATCAAAGCAGGGTCAGCAACTAGGCAGATAGGCAGGAACACAGGATACCAGGTACAGGGGCTCATGGGAAACATACACCAAGGCCCTGATCACAGGCCTGGTCATTCCTTAAATACACCTCCTACAATCAGCCCCAGGTGTTGGCTGACTGCAGGAGTGAGCTTCTGGCTGCTGAGAGCAAACCCGCTGGTCAGCCCTGGTACTGCAGCCCACACGGCAGGTGAGTCCCACCACCAGTGCTGAGTCCATTCCTGACACCCCTACTTTCCTGAATAAACACAGTGAGTAATTGGTACCAATCAGTCACTGTGTTCATTCATAATTGCAGCATAGTAAATTGTGTGTTTTTTTGTGGGAATGGGGGAGGTTGTCAGGTTGGCTGTATGGGGCCCTTGTGGTTTGGAGGGCCCGGTCAGGTTGGCTATATGGGGCCCCGTGGTTTCTAACAGCAATCCTGAGTATACTGCTGTGGTTATTGTAAAAACTTTTGAAACCCCAATAAAAATATTATTTAAAAAAAAAACCCTAAGTAGCAGAATTAAATTCTTACCTAGTTATTATCCTCAATGGGAAAATGAAATTGTACTGTGAAAAAATTTATTATGGATTTTTGTATTACAATTAAAGATTTGATACAGCTTATGCCCCTGCATTGGTGCCACCGAGCATTATACTTTTTTGTATAGAAAGCACACAGCAGAAGATGTCTGATTTCAGGCTCTTTTTCTCTAAATGAAACTTAGCAAGGAGCTGTCTGACAGTAGGTGGGAGGGGGAGGGAAAGAGGGAGGAGTCACTGCCCTGACCCAATCAGTTTTGTTTGTAAGGTAATGCATTCTATAAATAGCATTCTTTTTTTTTTTTTACAGGTAAGAAGAGCCTGGGAAACTTTAAATATACCAGTCATATATATTATCCCATATTTTTCAGTTTCAATCGTTTTTATTGATTTAAAAAAAAAATCATAAAAGGATACAAGATACAAAACCATCTGTAATTTCATTCTATACATCCATCACATTCTGAAAATATAGCTGGGAGAAATAAGAGAAGTAAAGCAGCCCAGATATGCTATGAGTATGCATTATAGATTGAATGCCCAGCATCAAATAATAGAAGATAGGCGTATAACAGTCTCCTATGACTCCAAACATGGCGGTAAAGCAATGGTTATCTTGCAAAGAAAAAACACACACATGAGACAGACTAGAAAAATTAAGTAGTCTGATGAGAACAGTTAGAGAGAAAACAGGTGGCGCACACACCTAGTGCATTATCCAAGGTTTATTGTAGGAGTAAAAGAATAATAAAAACATACTCACAGACGAAGCATGTAGAGGCATCAACAGCAGGGCTCTTGCTCCCCATTCATCATACATCAGCATCAGAGGTTGGTCATCAGCTCTGAGGAAAGGGATTCGTCCCCGAAACGCGTCAGTAATTTGACCGCACTGACAGTGAGAACACCTTGCCTGCCGTTGTGGCCATTGTCATTTTTCTATGCTTTTTAGATACATGCTTCGTCTGTGAGTATGTTTTTATTATTCTTTCACTCCTACAATAAACCTTGGATAATGCACTAGGTGTGTGCGCCACCTGTTTTCTCTCTATCCAGTGGCCGATTTCCCTGTCTGAGGAGGGCTGCACCCCTGGAACATTTCCTTTGGTTGTCGCTGTCCTGGTACCCTTGGCTTCCCTTTTGGCTGTGCATATCCTGAGGCGCTGGAGAGTACATACAATATCTGATGAGAACAGTTAATCCTGAGACCAGGCCCCAGACAGGGCAGCGGTTCACCAAAAAATTACCAATAACATTTGTGCCGAAAGTGAGGATCAGGGGCGGACTGACCATTTGGAAACTTGGGCAGTGCCCGTGGGCCCTGGGTCAGTAGGGGGCCCCATGAGATGCCACTGGAACCTTTTTCATAGGCTTTTTTTAATTTGGGCAAGGACACAGGGGCCCCATGATCCCCCATTGCCCGGGGGCCCCATGAGTTGTCAGTCCGCCCCTGGTGAGGATAATCATCCATCAAACAGGTGTATCAATAGAGCTACACAATATGCAGCATTGGTAAATGTAAAAGGAAAAAAAAAAGATGGGGGGGATTCAAAAGGGTAAAAAGAAAAAGAGAAGGAAAGGATAAGGGAAAGAATGAAGAGGAAGGAGAAGAAAAGATGAAGGAGGAGACTCTTGTCCATCTATAGCCCCGCAACTGACCAATCACTTGTCCAACTGCCATTAAACATTCAGTTCTTGTAAATAAGAAAGCCAGGGCTTCCATATTTTATCAAAAAGTGCCTGTTTATCCCTTACAACGCTCACAATCTTTTCGTTAAACATAATCCAAGTTTACAAGGTCAGCTTTTCTTGTAAAATTCTATGTTCTATTCCAGGGATTTCCAAATTTTATAAACAAAGGGCCAGTTTACTGTCCTCAGGCTTTAAGGGTCTGAACTGTGGCCAGTGGGAGAAGAAAATGCCCTGGCAAAGGTGCCCCATTGTTGGTTTTATTGGGAGGAATAGTATCCGGTCATAGATATCATTTAGAAGACTAGAGCCCCATTGATGGTGTCAGTAAGGGAAATGGTGCTTTATCAATAGTGTGTCAGGGAGCGAGGAGCCAGACACACAAGGAGGTGCAATTAAAGGTAGGTTTATTTACACGGAAACAAGGCAAGAGTCTATGCAAGTCCGACCAGCAACAGCGGATGACTTGGTAGGACAGAAGTTCTCCTGCCGAGGTCGTCTTCCAGGATAATCAAGTCGAGAACCAGCGGGAATCGTAGCCAAAGCCGGGGTCAGAAGCCAGGAAGAATGGTCGCCAGAGCCGGGGTCAGAAGCCGAGAAGAATGGTCGCCAGAGCCGGGGTCAGAAGCCAGGAAGAATGGTCGCCAGAGCCGGGGTCAGAAGCCAGGAAGAATGGTCGCCAGAGCCGGGGTCAGAAGCCGGGAAGAATGGTCGCCAGAGCCGGGGTCAGAAGCCGGGAAGAATGGTCGCCAGAGCCGGGGTCAGAAGCCGGGAAGAATGGTCGCCAGAGCCGGGGTCAGAAGCCGGGAAGAATGGTCGCCAGAGCCGGGGTCAGAAGCCAGGAAGAATGGTCGCCAGAGCCGGGGTCAGAAGCTGGGGAGAATGGTCGCCAGAGCCGGGGTCAGAAGCCGGGGAGAATGGTCGCCAGAGCCGGGGTCAGAAGCCAGGAAGAATCTTAGCCAAAGCCGAGTCGGTCTCCAGGAGAGCAATGAGTTAACTTAACAGGAGCTTGCTGCTGTGCAACAGACAGGACACAAATGCAATGGACAGCTACAAACAGCAGACTTAAATGGGATAAGCCGCCACCTCCTGGGAGGAGCCGCAGAGGGCTGAAAGCATAAAGGATCCCACAATGCTTTGCAGACACCTAAGATGAATGCTAGCACATGGAGCAGCACAAACCCTGAGGAAAGGTAGGACCTTGATAGTGTGTCAGTTGGTGGAATAGTGTCACAAGGGCCAGATAAAGGCAAGCAAATGGCCACATCCAGCCCCCGGGCCGCCATTTGGAGACTACTGTTCTATTCCATTGTAGCTGTATGTGTTTGAATGGAAACTGCAGCACACATAGATTTTGCACTTTGACCCTGACATGAACTCCAAAGGCTAGCCATACTTGTATAGACTTTTCTTGCTCAGCTCTTGGACTGAACAAGAGAAATCTGATAGATTCATTCATCCACACTAAACAGCGTGGATGGGGAATTTGAACCTGCTGGCTATTGTATTCTCCCAGTCCACATCCATCAGAATGCACAAACAGTGATTGCACCTGACAATTTTTTTCACTGGGTAACAAACATTGTTTGAAAAATCGACTTTTGTGATACTGATAGGGCCAACTCTGCCCAGCTACATCACCAACCTGGTCTCAAAATATCAACCAAACCTCTCTCTTTGTTCCTCCCAAGACCTTCTGCTCTCTAGTTCCCGTGTCACCTCCTCTCATGCTCGCCTCCAGGACTTCTCCCGAGCTTCTCCCATCCTATGGAACTCCCCACCCCAATCTGTCTGGCTGTCTCCTAATCTATCCACCTTTAGACAATCCCTGAAAACCTTTCTCTTTAAATCCTGCTTCTACCTAGTAAACCGCCATTTATTTCCTCCATCAGCTCATCCCCCCCACAGTTATTACCTTTTGTATCACTCAACCCTTCCTCCTAGATTGTAAGCTCTAATGAGCGGGGCCCTCTGTTTCCTCTGGTACCAAATTGTATTGTAACTGTAATGTCTACCTTCATTTTGTAAAGCGCTGCGCAAACTGTTGGCGCTATATAAATCCTGTATTATAATAATAAATATATAAATCCTGTATAATAATAATAATCCAAGTTGACTTGAGTTTCCTCAAAGCTAAGTCAACCATTGGGCTTTTCCAAGCCATTGCAAAGGCCATCTTGGCCACTAACAACAAAATAAAGAGTCTGTGAAGGGATGTTATCTACTGGCATGTTCAACGGTGCAATCTGAGGGTCCCCAACAATATTAACCAGCGTAACTGAATATATAAAAGAGTGAACACATCCCCAGAAACGTCTAACCTTAGGGCACATCCACCAGATATGAAGGGATGTCCCCATCTGTCCACAACCCCCGAAAGCATGAGGATAAAGAGCCTGGGAAAATTTTCGAAAGGCGTTCAAGTACTAAATACCATCTGCAGCAAACCGTAAAGCCCACCTCAACCAATGCTACATTCATTATATCCATATGGACACGAACTTTCCAGGTTTGCCAATCCGCTTCTTCAGGGCCCCTATTAAGATCTTTCTCGCATGCTTATCCCATATTTTTCTGGGTTAAAAAAAGGAAAATATATTTCAAAAATAGTATTTATTATACTGTCTTTAAAAAAAAGTCTGAAACAAACACAGAGGGTTGTGCTACCCTCTGCTGCTTTATTCGCTGCTTTTCCCCTATAATATCTGCGCTGCATATAGCCTTCTGTCAGAGCGTAGGATGAAATGCAGCACAATGAACACAGCCGATCGATAAAGCATGCAAAAAAATGTCAGCTTTATCTCTCGCTGCCTTTTAATTATATGACCAGATGCACTATGGCTTTTTATCTATGCTATTGGAAAAATAAATTGGAAAAAGAAAATCTTGGACGTGACCCAGTAAAATCAATGAAAATGTAAATAGTGGCTTGTATCAGTCTATAAAATCATATTCCCTGCCTGTAATATTCGATGGATCTGTACTTATCCTACAGAGCCCAAGTCTTGTGTGGAGAACCAAGATGGGATATTGACACAATTTGCTCATAGATTGCCCCTATATATAGTTTCAGCAGAATCATCGCCATCCTAAAATGAGATGATGTCTATCAGTAACGCACATCAGACTTTGCAGCACAAAATACGAATGCTGATATGTAATTTTTTCATTAATCGCAAAAAAGGTTTTCCCACTAACTTTTTTTCTCAGACGGTCTGTGAATCACCAATGGTCTCACGTCTACGCCTCCTCCCCCCTTTAACTTCGTCAGCATTTTATGGTACTGTGCTAACCCTGTGTACCCCTGGCAGTTACCAGAAAAATAAATGATGGTCTTTCATTCTAATTTAAAACATTTACAAATTGTATCAAACAGAAAGAGCGGATGGTGTGTTGACTATACTAGACAGGACCCTGAAAGCCCCATCTTATATTCACAGGACAGAAGCAGGCATGGACTTGTAATAAAGTTTGCAAAAGTCTTTGAAAAATTTATAGGAATTGTTTTTTCAATGTCACTTTTAAATCAGTGGTTCTCAACCTGTGGGTCGCGACCCCTTTGGGGGTCGAACAACCCTTTCATAGGGGTCGCCTGAGACCATTGGAAAACACATATTTCCGATGTGTAAAGAGCAGCTACTGTGTAGAAAGCAGCTGTTGTGTTGAAAGCAGCTACTCTGTTAAAAGCAGCTACTGTGTTGAAAGCAGCTACTTTGTAGAAAGCAGCTACTGTGTTGAAAAGCAGCTACTGTGTTGAAAGCAGCTACTCTGTTAAAAGCAGCTACTGTGTAGAAAGCAGCAGTATTGGAGGTAAAATGACACTTCATGAATTATAATTACTGAGTAAATAATTTTATGGTTGGGGGTCACCACAACAGGAGGAACTGTATTAAAGGGTCGCGGCATTAGGAAGGTTGAGAACCACTGCTTTAAATCATCTTCACTAATCAATACACTTGCAAATTTATATGATCCAGACCTTGTTTTAATTACCGTAGAATCATTATTTGCTCGGTTTTATTTATTGTTGTTTAAAGCTCACATAAGGAGGAATGTTGCTCTTGGTGTTAATGAATTTCCACCCCGGTGACTGATGGATCCATGAACAGGCCAAGCTTGGTGGATTCCATATGGGAGCATTGATTTCCATTTGTGTAAGCTTCCCTTTGCTGTGGGATTCTACTGTCACATCAGTAATATGCAGAACTTCGCTCCGAGCAAATCAGCTTAGAATATTGCTTCCTTTAGCATTCTGTGCCTGACTCATGCAGAACTGCGCATACATCAACCCCGCCAACGCTGTCAATAAGTGTATGTGATTGTGCGGCAGGGAGGTTCCCCAAAGATGACTCTGTTCTGATGGAGGAACTGTGTTTCTAAGAATGGGGGTGGGTAGTGGGTACACTTGTGCTTTGTCCATGGAGGACAGTACATGTCCAACTAATTGCCACACCACCCACACTTTTTTTCACCCCTTTTAACACCCATTATGCTCTGTTTCCAACTGGATGTGACACATCAGGTACTTCCAGGTATCTGCAAGCACATGACTCCAATTTCTTCCAGGATGCATCTCTTGGTGCCTGGGTCACCAGTCACTGGGCACAAATGCAACCCAGTCTTTGCTGACCGTTCCCATCAACAATTATTATTATTATTATACAGGATTTATATAGCACCGACAGTTTGCTCAGCGCTTTACATTATGGTGGGAGCAGGGGTGGACTGACAACTCATGGGGCCCCCGGGTAATAGGGGTTCATGGGGCCCCTGTA